GTTCTATTGAAACGTTGTATTAAACCATAACTGTGTTATACACTGGGCAAGGAATAAAGTAGAAACAGCAAGCTGCAAGCAAGTGGGTGGGGGGGTGTCTGAGGGATTATCACCTCCCCAAAAAGAAAGTCCAACTATTACTGACACACTACTGGAAACTCCCTTTCAGGGCCAACTTGGGAAGTTTGGAATTTCATTTTAAAAAGTCCCTTTCATTATATAAGTTTTATGTCCATACCCTGTGGGCTCCGTAAGCCTTGGTTCCTTTGTCAGTAAAGTGGGAGTGATACAATCTACCTCATGGGTAGTTATGAGGATTGAACAGCATGATCCAGGTAAGAAAAGCCTATGGATTTAAGTACATTTGCACTATAAATATTTCATGTTAATAAAATACACTTTTGCCAATAAAAATAAAATAAATACTATTTTATAATAGCAAGGGATCTCTTACATTATTTTTATTACTGAATTCTCTGATATTCAATTTAATAAGGACTTTACTAATTTTCCCACTTACCTGAGTGGGACCACTTACTAAAGTGGTCTTTAAAAGCTACATAGTATTCTTTGTCTCTCCCATAATTCCAGTTATTATTCCAAGCAATGGCTATCTGTATGCAAATTCTTTTCCATGTGACAGAACTTTTCCACTTGGCTGGATTGTTAACACAGTTACGACTACACATGCAAACCCAAACTCGCAGAGCCCTGGCCTTACTGATGGCCCACAGATTCTTACCTGCACTTCTCAGGTTGGGGTCCAGCCCTGGCATCTCCTTGTTCGCCTCAGGGCTGACACTATAGATGGATGCTCCCGCCTCACTGACGATACTGTGAAGGAAGAAAAGCGGGACATCATTTGCCAAACTTCCTACCTGGTCAAAGAAAATAAACGATTGCAACTAGGCATCAGCAAAGCAGAGCTAAGTGCTCGATGTTATCATATCCCTTAATTTCTCATTAACATAAAATGGTTAAGCAATGTTCATTTGATTCACATAGGAAATACACTGGCTCCAATCATGATAAAACAAATTTAGTCATTTTCTCCGCCTGCCACGGGTAACAAGAGTTAAGTTGTAGGTGAACACAAAGGATACTCTTCCATGATGCCATCCTCAGATCATTCTTAGCGTCTTCCACATTTCTAATTCATTACTGGACTACAATCCATTTGTAACTCCCATCTATGTTCCTGGTGAAGGACATCACACTTGATAACGTGGAGGAAGCCCTCAACGAGGTGGGTAATACAGTGGCTGCCACAATGGGCTCACGCCTAAGAATAATGGTGGGATGGCACAGAACCCGTCAGTTTCCTCCTGCCGTACAGGGTCCCTGCGGATCGGAATCGACTCCTTGGCACCTAGTCACAACAGAACATCCAAGTGATTCCTTCTCAGGAAGGCTGGAAACGTACGGACACGTGTGCAGACATGTACATGTGTGAAATACACAAAAAGCCAGGGTCATAAACATTGCCATTATTGTCACCTCGCTATAATTAACCACCACAACTTGCAAAGGAGACCATCTCATTTCTTCCTAGGAGGGGCCCAATCCATCCTTCTAATGAACTCAAAGCCTTTTGTTTCAGGCAGATGTTAAGCCATTTCATTTAATCAGTTATTAAAACAATACATCACTTCAATCATCCAATTTCTTTCTTCTCTGCCTCCAAAGTCTTTACGAACCTCACTGGGAACTCTCTCGGCTGTTTATGCGGTGGTTGACAGTTATATGTTTTCAAACATTTTAAAATTATCATTGCTTATGACATGATAATGCAAAGAACCATCATCTACCCAAAGTACACAGAGCATCTCGGGCTACACCACACAGCCATTTAGGTTTCAGGGCATTTAGCCATTCAAGAGACAAAGGAACATGTAAGTTATCAGTTTTTTAATCCTCTTGTAGAACTCTTATTTCCTCTGCTCAATATTTACTTCAACAACATCAGACAAGTGGATAACTTTGAACTTTTGCTCCACTGTAATAGTCAAGCACCCACAAGTAATATGTTAGAAAGCAAGAAAATTAGTCTGCTGTCCTCTGCCTGGGGAATACTCATTTGAGTTTTGACAACTGCCAAAATAACCCACCAAGCCCTGAGAAGATTATTCCAAGGAAAGTGAAGATTTCTTCTTTGCATAAGATCAACTATTCTAAATTTCTTAATAAAAAATATGAATGCTTTCTAACTGAGAATTGAAGCTCCACTTATCCTCGTCATCATCCATACCATCGTCATGGTAAATAAGGTTTACTGACTATACACACCACACAAAAGCAAGCACTTTATATATTTTAGCTCATTTAATTCTTTTATGGGGTAGGTTTTACGACACAGATACATGTTCAAGGTCATACAGCTAGCTACTCAGCAGCTAAGCTGGATTTGAACCCCAACCTGGTGAACTCCAAAAGTCTGCGCAAGCTGCACAGACTGAAGTTAACCCCTGACTAGCTACACTCTCGCTCATTAAAAGGATAACCGATATTTGATGGCAAAACAACAAATGCAATTATGCTCCTAAGAAATTATTACTTTTGTAAAAGAACAGATCCATAGAAATTATTTTCGCTCTTCCATGAGCCTCTCCTTTAGATGAAAGTGTAAAGAAAAAAAAATGTTTTAATCATTTTATTGGGGGCTCATACAACTCATCACAATCCATACATACATCAATTGTGTAAAGCACATTTGTACATTCGTTATCCTAATCATTCTCAAAACATTTGCTCTCCACTTAAGTCCCTGGCATCAGCTCCTCATTTTTCCCCCTCCCTCCCGGCTCTCCCCTCCATAATGACCCCTTGATAATTTATAAATTATTATTTTGTCATATCTTACACTGTCCGACATTTCCCTTCTTCCACTTTTCTGTTGTCTGTCCCCCAGGGAGGAGGTTAAATGTAGAACCTTGTCATCGGTTCCCCCTTTCCACCCCACCCTCCTCCAACTCCCAGTATCGCTACTCTCACAACTGGTCCTGAAGGGATCATCTGCCCTGGATCCCCTGTGTTTCCAGTTCTTATCTGTATCAGTGTACATCCTCTGGCCTAGCCAGAATTGTAAAGTAGAATTGGGATCATGATAGTGGGGGGGCAGGGGGGCATTTAGGAACTAGAGGAAAGCTGTATGTTTCATCGTTGCTACAATGCACCCTGACTAGCTCGTCTCCTCCCCGTGACCCTTCCCTAAGGGGATGTCCAGTTGCCTATAGATGGGCTTTAGGTCCCCACTCGGCACTCCCCCTCATTCACAATGATATGATTTTTTGTTCTTTGATGCCTGATACCTCATCCCTTTGACACCTCTTGATCACACAGGTTGGTGTGCTTCTTCCAGATGGGCTTTGTTGCTCCTGAGCTAGATGGCCACTTGTTTACCTTCAAGTCTTGAAGACCCCAGATCTTTTGATAGCCAGGCACCATCAGCTTTCTTCAACACATTTGCTTGCACACCCACTTTGTCTTCAGCGATTATGTGGGGAAGGTGAGGATCATGGAATGCCAGTTTAATAGAACAAAGTTTTCTTGCATTGAGGGAGTGAGTGGAGGCCCAATGTTCATCTGCTACCTTAACACAAAACCTATCTATATATGCACATAGATTTATTTCTCCCCCCTCATATATAAATGTATTTACCCATGTACATGCCTTTATTTAGACCTCTATAAATGTCCTTTGCCTCCTAGCTCTTTCCTCTGTTTCTCTTTACTTTTCAAAAGTGTAAAAATGTTATTTATAGTGGTTAAGCTTTGGGCTACTGGGAACCACAAGCCACTTCGTGGAGAAAGAAGGGGCTTTCTATTTCTGTAAACAGTTACAGTCTCAGAAACTCACGGGGCAGTTCTGTCTTGTCTGTAGGGTCGCTATTGGTTGGTGTCAACACAATGGCAGTTTGGTTTTGTACTATTATGGATCTTAGATAGAATCTAAAGCATCAGAAGGCCAAAGATGCTCTATCATTTCTGAGGCTGAATTTAAAAAGAAAAGGTAATTGTGCTTTTTTTCTAGAATCAAATTCAGATGACACTTATCTTCTAGTATACAATCACAAGAATGTCAAATAAAGCTATAAGTGAAGAGAGCTCTTGGTGTGGCAGATTCATGTAATGCTAAAATGAACACCCAGAGTGATTCTCAGTTCCATTATAACCTAAGGTTCTTGGACATCTGGATAGGGAAAAACTGGATTACAAACCGTTTAACCTACATGCAAAAATGCTTGTGCTGGTGCATTTCATCTAGGAATGGGCATTATAATTTTCACTGGTTACTTAAAGAAATTCATGACCCCAAATCGGTTAAGAAACCTCACCACAGGGTAAGAATATCCAGTCACCAGAAATGAAAATGTAAGTTTCAATAAGCAAGTCAACGCTTAATCTAACTACGTATTTTCTAAAAAACAAGGTACCTACCTGTGGAATGTGGACTCAACCTAGTTTTAAAGAGAAAAGGGTATCATTTCCTTTTCATCTACTTCTATGCAATTTTATCCTCTTAATTCCCCAAAGCCTCCAGACCTACAGCTACTTCAGTAAAGGAAACTTAAACGGCAAATAAACAATTCTAACGAATTGTGGACTTCAGCAGTTGGGCATCTGAGAATTTGCTGGGTGATTCACTGTCTCTCTTAGAGGTTATAATTCCCAATAGAGTCAGAGAAACTGTTGTAAAGAAAAACACTCAGATAATAAATATTCCTCCAAATACCACACTGCCACTTCTTTTAAACAGAACAATACAAAACAGATGTGACACACTGCACTCAAAGATTCTAGATTAACATTAATATTAAATCAATACAAAATGTAGTAAATTTCATATGCTCTAGCATGGGTCCAATAAACAGCTCAGTACTAAGCACAGATCAGAAAGCTTAAATAATCTACATGAACAGACAAACCCCAACACTGATTACTTCTATGTAAAACATATATGGACCTAAGAAGCATATGTGGTAAGAATTAAATGAAACAAATCAAACTGTTTTAAGAGAACAAACTTGGGGTGGTGATGATTTTTTCCAGGAGAAGCCACTAAGGACAAAAGCCTTTACCCTACGCCTCTTGTTTCTTTCATTGCTATTCTGAGTTCACATATGGACATTCACCAGAAAGTATGCTAGATTCCATAAGCCGCTTACAGCTTTTTGGGAAGTTATTCCAATGATCTCTAATGTATTTTGAGGAAAACAAAAACGAACTTTGTATGAAATTCATCTATCTAATAAACTAGCAAGTATTCTATTTCACAATGTAAATTTCTGGTGTTAACAAATTAGGCTCAAAATACTAGCAATTCGATTATTTTATGTATTTTGCCACACTACAAACAAGACCCTGAGCAGAATTCCTTGTTGAGAGGAAATTTAACTGGCCCAGCTATAATTCAACTAAGGTTTCAAGATTATTACAAACCTCTAAACCCCTTCAAATAGCTATAGCTTAGGTGAACACCTAAACTGATACTTATGGTCTCTCAGCCTCCCACGTTTGAAAAGTACATTTCAGGATCCAAAGTACAACCTGACTGTATTATACCAGCTCCTAAGTCAACCTGACCCTTCTCTACAATTATATTGGCAACATGAACACTTTATCTATGTAAGAACTTTTTTATTTTAAAAAAACCACTCACAATCTGAAAAGGAAGAGAACAAGAGATGTACAAGCCAGTTGCAGCCATTTAAAAAAATCATTAATGAATTTTAGCAGAAATCCTTTCACAATAAAAGGTTCAATCTTATAAATTAAATGACTCACTTGTCAATAAATTTTCTCTTTTGAAAGACAAAGGCAGCTTTAAAAATTAT